ATCATTCCTTACACCTCTTTATTTTGTTAACACCTTTAAGCCCTGTAGCACTATTGGGTCAAATAACCAACAAGAACCAACTGTTGATCATTAAATGGTGCCACTTGCTATCACAGCCTAAACACCGTATTCCCACTCCATGTGCCTCCATTATTTCCCTAATTTCTCTTGGCTGTCATTACGTTTTGTATTTACAGGGCTGTGATGTCATAAAAATCCATTTACCTTTTCCAATGGAACAAATGACACCAGTTTATACTCATAATTTATCCTTTCGAATAGCAGCATCTAATTACATAAAACACTTTCCTTCCCATTTTCCTTCAGACTTTTATCTCCAAGCCTCAAAACCCTTACCCTGAAAGCAACAAACTATAATTGTAGCAGGAGCGGCTGCAGGAAACGGATCTCTTGGACACCGAATATTGGAGGAAGGAGTTTATTCTGCCAGGAGCCAGGTGGCATATTTGCCTAAGAGCCAAGCTCCCCTAGCAAAGGAAGGTTCCTTTTTTATATAGGCTTATACTTTAGATGTTACCTGGAAGAATCTTAGGTTTATAGCTTAACATATGAAAAGGGTCTCAGTTTATGGTCTTAGGAATTACATATGAAAAGGGTTTCAGTTTACAGTCTTAGGAATTACATATGAAAAGGGTTTCAGTTTACAGTCTTAGGAATTACATATGAAAAGGGTTTCAGTTTACAGTCTTAGGAATGAAAAGGGGGAGTTGATCTGAGATGCCTGGGTCTCCCTCTTCATAATCAGCTTGCATCCTATTCCAAATGCTCTCAGTTTTTACTAATAGTAAGTAAGCCACATCAGGAAGTCATGGTTTGGTGTGCAAATAACCAATGGAATAAACGCTTTTTTCCCATAAACATCCTCAACTCAAAAAGCAGAAGTCGGAGCTCTAATATTGGCTCTTCAAAAATTCCCCCATCGTGTGCTTAATATTATCCCTAATTCCTCATACATTGCCAATCTTGTTCCCCTATTGCCTCAGGCCACTATAAAGGACAATATTTCAACTCATCTGCTGCCCTTATTTCTAACTGTTCAAATATTGCCGTCCCGCCGCACTAAAACCATCTTCCTAACACATATTCACAGCTACTGCCATCTTCCAGGGCCCTTGGCAACTGCGAACAAAATTGCAAATACCAGTCTGCAGCCGATTAATTCTTTATTTACCAATCCTTTTTCTTCTCATCAATTTTTCCATCAAAATGCCCATTCACTAATAAAATATTTTTCTATTTCTAAGCAACAAGCTCAGCAAATTGTCCATTCTTGCCCTACTTGTCAGGCATTAACATTTTCTAGCGCTGCCACGGGCACTCATCCCAGAGGCCCCGCTCCAGATGAGCTACGGCAAATGGATGTTACTCGGATCCCCAATCTTAAACCTCTCCCGGATGTTCGTGTTTCTATTAATACTTTTCCAACGCTACCTGGGCTTCTCCTCAAAAAGGTGAGTGTGTTAATCACGTTCGTAATCATCTTTTTCAGGCTTTTGCTGCTTTGAGTTATCCTCGTCTGCTTAAGACGAACAATGAACCTGCCTATGCTTCTCAAACGTTTGCTGCTTTTTGCACTCGCTGGGATGTCAAGCAGACGTTCGGCATTCCCTGTAATCCTACTGGACCAGCCAGTGTAGAACAAGCTCATCACCTGTTAAAGCTAGTTCTGAAAGAACAAAAGGGGAAGTTGCCTCCCTTGACAAAGCCACGAGTTAGGATTAATATAGCTTTGTTGCCTATTAACCATTCACTTTTTAGAATGCCGGCAGTAATCTCACATGCGGTCGCTTATTTTTCTAACCCACAGGAATCAGATAAACTATTAATATTGTATCAACAGCCACCGGATCCCATGTGGGAGGGGCCAGTGCCCCTTATCACATGCACAGGAGGCTACGCTGCTGTGCTCTCTCCTACAGGTCCTCTGTGAGTTCCTGCTCGATGCGTTAAACCATACCATGAGTTGGCATCAAGGATTGAAAAACCTGATCCCAATCTGATTGATTGGGATCCCATCAATCCCATCTGATTGATGACGACCGAGGAGCCAGAGAAAAAGTCACCTACTGTTCCCCAGAGAATGGGAAGGAGATCACGTTGCCTACTTGGGAGGACATGAAAATACTCTGGTCATACTGAAATTGCTGTTCACAATGCAGGACAGGAACTTACCCCAGAAAATTTATTATTGGCTATGATGGCAACACTCAAAGCTTCTTCAATCAAAGTAGGGGTCTTAATGGCAATATTGTTACGTTTGGTCTCTGCTAACACCTATGTCCAATGGACCCAGACCACAGTGCAGGTTGCTAACCAAGCCACCTGCTGGGTGTGTGCCTGGTTTGCTGTTTCTAGTGGTGCAGGGTGTCCATGGAGTATGCACCCTGCAGCTCTGTCCCAGTGGGAACGTCTAGAATGGTGGCAGAATAGAAAAAACCGTATCCTATAATGAGATTTGGCGGCAGTTTAAAAGATAATTTATAGAAAAGGACTGGGGACATTTTTTACGGTGGAAAAAACGTCATAACATTTCTGGTTCCTTATTTTCTTTATATTTAAAGCAGCGTCACAACAAACTGCCCCCTCAACCTTCCCTGGGGTATTCTGTGTGGGATGGAGCTCCCGTATACCACAGAAAAAGTGGTGTTGCCCCAAAGGATTCTGCATTGCATTTCTCAAAAAGAAATTCCAGTAGGTAGTTTACCTAAGGAATTATGTCAGACAATAAGTGTACCAAATTCAAGCACTAAATGGGGATCTGAGATTCTCACCGGTGGACAAAACAATTCTTATGGAGTATATGCTGTCCCTCCTGGTAATTTATGGTTCTGTGAAAGTCATGGCTGGTTATGCCTCCCATTAAATTGGTCCAATATCTGCTGCTGGGGAAAGCCACACATTCCGGCCCAAATCCTTGAACATCTTGCTCAATTACCAAATCACTGGGAAATGGTAGAACATAAATATCTGTCTAGACGCCGCCATGCCTCCTGGTGGCACTATTTAACAACTGTATTTTCCCCACAAGCCGGGGTAATCTCAACTGAACAACCTGTAGAGGCCCTCGCCAAGCACACAGCTGCTGCCTTTAATGCAACTCAAGCAGGAATTACGTTGCTGAATAAAGAAGTAAGCCAGGTTCAAAGAATTGTGCTACAAAATAAAATGGCTCTAGACATGCTCCCAGCAGCCCAAAGCGGGAGTATGGGCTATCATGAAAACCAAGTGCTGCACCTTATCCCTGTTTAGGTGTGTCTGTGCCTGTGGCTTTAAAAACCATCCAAAAAGAAGTTTCTAGGATCCAAACAATTCAGGTGGACCCCATCCAACAATGGTTTCGTACTTTGGGGTGAAATTTTTCTAAATGGGTCAATATCATTATAATTTGTATACTTGGCTTCTGTTAATCTTACCTTGCTGTTTTCTGTTTTCCTGTTGCCATCGATAGGAGGAAGAAGACAATCCTCCTTATTCAAAACAAAAGAGGAGGCCGGGCGCAGTGGGTCACACCTGTAATCCCAGCACTTTGGGAGGCTGAGCCGGGGAGACCACGAGGTCAAGAGATAGAGACCATCCTGGCCAACATGGTGAAACCCCATCTCTACTAAAAATACAAAAATTAGCTGGGCGTGGTGGCACGAGCCTGTAATCCCAGCTACTTGAGAGGCTGAGGCAGGAGAATCGGTTGAACCCAGGAGGCAGAGGTTGCAGTGAGCCAAGACAGCCCCATTGCACTCTAGCCTAGCAACAGAGTGAGACTCCATCTCAAAAAAAGGGGTGGGGGTGGGGAGGGAATTGTGAAGAAGTTCAGCATCCTCAAATGTTCCTGATTACTCCTTACTGCAAGTTCCCAGAAGTACGAGATCATACACTGAGACTTACTCTCCCTATTGATAAGAGGTTGTGGATGAACTTAGCAATTATGCACTTGGCCAGACAGAACTTGAGAATGCTGAGTACCCTATGAAAGTGCTGATGTTCCACACCGGGCGCGGTGGCTCAAGCCTGTAATCCCAGCACTTTGGGAGGCTGAGGCGGGTGGATCACGAGGTCGAGAGATCGAGACCATCCTGGTCAACATGGTGAAACCCCGTCTCTACTAAAAATACAAAAAAATTAGCTGGGCATGGTGGCTTGTGCCTGTAATCCCAGCTACTCAGGAGGCTGAGGCAGGAGAATTGCTTGAACCCAGGAGGCGGAGGTTGCGGTGAGCCGAGATCGAGCCATTGCACTCCAGCCTGGGTAACGAGAGCGAAACTCCATCTCAAAAAAAAAAAAAGAAAGTGCTGATGTTCCAAGAAAATACATTTGCTTTCCAATAAACCTCCTCTGCTAGGCCTGATACAGGTGGCTCACGCCTGTATTCCCAGCACTTTGGGAGGCCAAGGCGGGCAGATCACAGGGTCAGGAGTTTGAGACCATCCTGGCCAACATGGTGAAACCTTGTCTCTTCTAAAAATACAAAACAATAGCTGGGTGTGGTGGCGCTCACCTGTAATCCCAGCTACTTCGGAGGCTGAGGTAGAAGAATCGCTTGAATCCAGGAGGTGGAGGTTGTGGTGAGCCAAGATCGCCTCACTGCACTCCAGCCTGGGCAACAGAGTGAGACTCCATCTCAAAAAAAAAAACCCAAAAAACAACAAAAAAAACACCTCCTCTGTTCAAGAACATCTCCTGAACCTTTGTCCTTAATAGTTTATAGTCAGATTAGTTATGAATTAGGCTCTTCCTTGTATCCTCAATAAACATGCTGTGGAACAAACAGGTGGGGTCAGTCCTCGGCTGGACTGTCCACTGCTTTGCTGATTCTCTGTGTCTTGTTTTTCTTTACCCAGGGACTGTGGGCTGCAACAATTTCTATGCTCTCTGCATATCTTAAAGACCACATTAAATCGTTTTTTAGCTAAGGCATATAGAGAATTTGTGATCACCCTGTGTATCTCTAGGTATATCCACATAGGGCAGAAATTAGAGTCTACCTGACAACTATGGTCGACATGGGAGGCTCTTTCGTGTTTCTCTTCAACAAGTGACATTTCTTCCACGAATCAGTTACATTGTTGATGATTTTTCTTTTCCACGGGGGCATTCTGTTCGGCTTTGGGGTCACATTAATCTCTTTTGGCAACTGGTGTCTTGCTAAGATTCTTTCTAAGCCAGAGAGTTCAGGATTCTCACCTAGTAATAGAATAAGCATTAATACATTCAATGTTGCTCTCCATCTGTGCATAGCAAGAGTAACACAGCACTGATTTGAGAAAAAATACATATGCAGCTTAATAATTCCTGTTTAGCTTTGTCATTCCTTTATTCCAACAAAATTACTGAGCACCATTTAGATCTTAGCCTGGTCCTAGACATTTAGCAGATAACATTGTAAATAAATAAAAGAATGAATGAGAAAGCAGACATGCTGAACTGCACAGAGTTGGTCATGTGTGCCTGATTCTAACGGCGAGTTACCATACAATTATTATTGTGATCTCACTTTCCCTTTAACTGCATACTTAATTGGAGATGCACATTTGGAAGCTTCCCAGAAGAAACAGGGTGAAATTATTGTCAGGCTCCAAAACGTGGGGCTCCCTTTTATTGGCAATTTTGCCTGAGCAAAGGTTACTACATAGGACTGAACTTAAAACAGCAGCATGCTGTCAGTTAGAACGTGGAGTGTGACTTACTGTTCTTTTTGACTCCACAAAATTCATTTCTGGCCATAAATGGACTGTTTATTTCTCGTTTTGTTATAAGCATGTCTATTTTCAGCTATGCCAGTGGGAAATGCCTTCCTTCTTTTGGGTGCTCCAGTAACTGAGACTTGGGGGTTGGACCGCTGCAGGCTACTGTAGAAACTCTCCGGATGGCCAGTGGTACAGTTACAACAGCAAGGTGGAGCCGCTTTGAGAAGATAAAGCCAATAACAGAGGGGCTTAGGTCCTTTATCAGAAATGGAATAGCATCCCTCCCTGGTCAGCCAGCAGCTCCATAAGAGCTCCAGAATACAGTGTAGTGGTTTAATTATAGCTCGCTGCAGGCTCAACCTCCTAGGCTCAAGCGATCCTCTGATCTTAGCCTCCTCAGGGGCTGGACTACAGGCATGCATCACCACACCCAGCTTATTTTTGTTATTTTTTGTAGAGATGGGGGTCTCACTTTGTTGCCTAGGCTGATCTCAAATTCCTAGCCTCAAGCGATCTTCCTGCCTCAGCCTCCCAAAGTTAACTTTATCTTTAAAATATAAAAGAAAAACCTGGATTTAAAAAAAATTATGGATGTTTAGTTATTTTTCTTTCATTCTTCTTGTAATCATTTCTGGGTAACCAGTACAGGCAAAGCATCCTGCAAGTGAAGAGTGGGTTGACAGGAAAGGGAACAAAACCTATCTTTAAGGTCAAAAGAAATTTCTTCTAGAGGACGGCTTTAGACCCAGCAGCAGTGAGACATCAGTATCCATTATTAAAGTCTTGGTCTGATGAATGAAAGTCAGATAAATAGTGTCATGTCTTCAGGATGCATTTGCAAGGCAATCACTATATGTTTGGAAATGGCATCTTGGCAATGAAGCAAACTTTTAGTGATGAATTCATGACCTCGAAGTCCAATGTGCTCCCAATGACTGGACTCAGCCTGAGGCCAGGTCCCTGAAGGCACAAACTCAGGACTCTGAAGCAACATTTCTTCCCCCTTAATGCCGTTCACCTCACCTGCGTGAACCTCCCTAAACAGGCTTCCAACCATAGCAAATAATCACTGCACCCACACACCTCTGAAACAAAAGACCTCACTGCTGCTTGGCAGTTATACATGGCAGGAACTACCAGCTACTAAACATCTATCAGTGTATTGACATATATCGGTGTTTACATTGGGAGGCTACAGAGACAAAATCTAAATCAACATAGAATGGGGAATTCTCTAGAAAATCAAAACCCATTTCTCCAACTTCATGTACTTACCACATTTTCAATTTTTTTTTTTTTTTTTTTTTTTTTTTTTTTTTGAGGCGGAATCTAGCTTTGTCACCCAGGCTGGCATGCAATGGTGCAATCTTGGCTCACTGCAACCTCCACCTCCCGGGTTCAAACAATTCTCCTGCCTCAGCCTCCCGAGTAGCTGGGGTTACAGGTGCCTGCCACCACACCCAGACAATTTTTGTATTTTCAGTAGACACGGGATTTCACTGTGTTGGCCAGGCTGGTCTCAAACTCCTGACCTCATGATTTGCCCGCCTTGGCCTCCCAAAGTGCTAGCATTACAAGTGTGAGCCACTGCCCCCTGCCTGCATTTTAAATGTTAATGTTGCATTTTAATTGCAAAAGTAAAATGTTGCCACTGGAATAATTAAAATGAAAAAACTCAGTGAAGTCTACATAGTAAAAAGGGAAAGCTTTCCTTTATTTTCCCTCTCCAAGCTCTATCCTTCAGAGGTAGTCACTATCCTGAATTTCCTGAGTCTCCTTCAAAACTCCTTTTTTTTTTTTTTTTTTTTTGAGACAGAGTCTCACGCTGCTCATTGCAACCTCCGCCTCCCAGGTATTCTCCTGCCTCAGCTTCCCAAGTAGCTGGAATTACAGGCATGCACCACTATACTTAGCCAATTTAGTGTATTTTTAGTAGAGATGGGGTTTTGCCACGTTGGCCAGGCTGGTCTCGAACTCCTGACCTCAAGTGATTCACCTACCTTGGCCTCCCAAAGTGCAGGATTAAAGGCATGAACCACCACACTCAGCTTCAAAATTCTTTTCTATGCATTTATATACACATACATATATACAAATGCACAGTTTTCTTTTGGCATACTGGATCCATATTGTGTATCTTACTATGCAGCTTATTAAAATTCTACAATATGTATTGTAGATATTTTAATATCAACCTTCTTTTTAATAGTATTCCTCGGCCGGGCGCGGTGGCTCAAGCCTGTAATCCCAGCACTTTGGGAGGCCGAGGCGGGTGGATCACGAGGTCAAGAGATCGAGACCATCCCGGTCAACATGGTGAAACCCCGTCTCTACTAAAAATACAAAAAAAAAAAAAAAAAAAAAAATTAGCTGGGCATGGTGGCGCGTGCCTGTAATCCCAGCTACTCAGGAGGCTGAGGCAGAATTGCCTGAACCCAGGAGGCGGAGTTTGCGGTGAGCCGAGATCGCGCCATTGCACTCCAGCCTGGATAACAAGAGTGAAACTCCATCTCAAAAAAAAAAGAAAAAAAAATAGTATTCCTCTATATGGATATATGCCTTCATTTAATTATTCTGCTACTGGATGTCATTAGGTCATTTAAATTTTTTTTTTTTTTTTTTTTTTTTTTTTTTTTTTTTTTTTTTTTGAGACGGAGTTTCGCTCTTGTTACCCAGGCTGGAGTGCAATGGTGCGATCTCGGCTCACCGCAAACTCCGCCTCCTGGGTTCAGGCAATTCTCCTGCCTCAGCCTCCTGAGTAGCTGGGATTACAGGCACGCACCACCATGCCCAGCTAATTTTTTGTATTTTTAGTAGAGACGGGGTTTCACCATGTTGACCAGGATGGTCTCGATCTCTTGCCCTCGTGATCCACCCGCCTCGGCCTCCCAAAGTGCTGGGATTACAGGTGTGAGCCACCGTGCCCGGCTTAAATTTTTGACTATTATAAACAATGCTTCAGTGCATGGCCATGTTCATGCATCTTTGTGTTCAGCTATAAGTTATTTCTCTAGGATAATAACTGGAAGTGGAATTGCTAAGTGGAAGGACATGTCTGTGTTACAAGACATGAAAATATAAATTTTTCCATCGTCTGTTTTATCCAAGACCCCAAAGTCTGAGAAAAGTTGAGTAGGTGCCAGACGTGCATGCATGCACATCATACCTATCAATCTATGAAAAAACTGAGCATTCTTTCAGGATTCGTGAAGGCACTTGAGGATTTCTTTAGACACAGAGTTGGGGTAGTGCTGTCTACTATATCATTTCCCTCCCCACCCTTGGCTTTAAGGGGACTTTAGAGAACGACCTGGGGAATTGGACTATGTCTTCTAACACTGGTGCATCAGTTTCCTAGGGCTGTCGTAACAGCGTCACAAACTCTGAATTAAAACAACAAATTTATTGTCTCACAGTTCAGGAGGCTGAAAGTCAGAGACAAAAGTGTCAGCAAGGCTATGCTGAAATCTTGAGGGGAGAATCTTTGTCTCTCCCTAGTTTCTGGTGTTTGCCTGCAATCGTTGGTATCCTTGACTGTGGATGTATCGCTCCCATCTCTGTCTCTACTGTCACAAGGCCACCGTCTCCCGCTTGTCTCTGTCTTCTGATAAGGACACCAGTCCTACTGGATGAAGAACCACTCCATACCCATTATGACCTCATCTAAGTTTAATTAATTACATCTGCACTCTGTAACTACCCTATTTCCAAATCTAGTCACATTCTGGGATACTGGGGATTAGGACTTCAGTATATCTTAAGGGACTATGTATCTTGTTGAGGGACTTCCATGTATCTTGTTGAGGGACTTCCATGTATCTTGTTGAGCCCATAACACCTGGAAACATAATGGTGAGTGGCTGGGATCATAGCTGCCGTGGCCACAGAGAAAAGAGGCAGTGTTGGAACCAACTGTGCTTTCACCAACTGGGTGAAGGTATGGGGGACTAGGGCACAGATTTCCTATGAGCTTGATGTAAACCCCAGCTGGGCGTGGTGGCTCACACCTGTAACCCAGCACTTTGGGAAGCTGAGGCAGCAGGTCACCTGATGTCGGGAGTTTGAGATCAGCCTGGCCAACGTGGCGAAACCCTGTCTCTACTAAAATACAAAAGTTAGCTGGGTGTGGTGGCACGTGCTTGTAATCCCAGCTACTCGGGAGGCTGAGGTAGGAGAATCGCTTGAACACAGGAAGTGGAAGTCACGGTGAGCTGAGAACACACCACTGCACTCCAGCCTGGGCGACAGAGTGAAACTCCATCTCAAAATAAATAAATCATAAAATTTAAAAATTTTATAAAATGTAAATCCCTTGAAAAATACAGTTGATCATTGAATAACATGGAGGTTAGGGGCACTGACCCCTGCACAGTTGAAAATAAGTATGTAAGTTTCTTTTGTTAAAGAGTCTTGCTATGTTGCCCATGCTGGTCTCAAACTTCTGGGCTCAAGTGATCCTCCTGCCACAGCCTTTTGAGTAGCTGAACGTGGTAGTAT